TATATATATATATAATGATTAATAAATAAACAGGCTGTTGAACTCAATGATATGACATCATTCGGATGCTTTTCAATCTTTCTCTTCTTGAATATTTCCAGCGATACCGAGTAAATATTGCTGGAATTAATGTAATCCATTGATATCCTTAGGTACTATAGGCTTATGATGACCTCAATCTGTGGCGAACAACTGATAAACTCTATCTTTCAAAAACAAATATTAGGATCCTGACAAAGTTAAATAGATTGAGTTGAGGATCAGAGTTCAGCATAGGGTTCAGGAACAAAATAACCGCAAAATATATCCGCGCAGGTTTCTTATGTGTACGAAAGAAGAATTTATTTCATGATTCGATATTTACTCTCAGCAAGATTCGATATTTTCGAATAAAACAGATATGAAAACTAAAACTCAATCGGCCGAATCCTCATGAAAAAACAAAGATAAGGACTTTAGTGCAATATATTTACATCATTTACCGTTGTTCTAATGTCATCTTTGTTGGCACAATCGCAATGTTTCGACTAATGTTCGAGCTGTTCACATAAGCTTCATAGAATAAAATAAAATTACCACATATAAATTTTATTTATTTACTTAATAAACAGAGATCTCTTTATTTCTCTGAGGTGACAGGTGTTTCGAGCCGTTCATCTTGTGAATGATCGTAATCAACGCCAATATCTATAAATATGTGAGAAAAATGGAACTGACGACCATATTTCATCGCAAAACATTTAGTTACGCGTGTCGTTGGTAGAAGAATTAAGAAAACAAAAGTAAAGTCAATTAGACATAACAAAAAAATATGTAGCAAAATAAGATCGTCTTCATCAATATGAACCATGGTATTTAGAAAGTGGTTACTTAATCTGACACAAAGACACAATAGGCGAGTATTTAGAGGAGCAAATTTTCATCTTCGTTAGCATTTAAAAGATGCCTTATATTCTGTTCTTATATATATATATATATATAAAGAACAGAATAAATATATATAAAGAACAGAATATATATATATATATGTGTGTGTGTGTGTGTGTGTGTGTGTGTGTGTGAAAAATATGTAGGAAAGAACTCGTTAGGTAAATAATCCAAAGTTCTTTAGTATTTTTGTTATTATTTTTAAAAAAATAGTGCTCGATACAAAAGTAGAGCATAAATATAATTAGTAGAGCATAAATAATTATATATATATATATATATATATATATATATTTATATATTTATATATTTGAAGTGATATATATATATATATATATATATATATATATATATATATATATATATCTAATGAGCCACGTACTACCTACCCAGGTTTCACCACATGGAATCATCTGTGGGGACTGACTAAGGCTGAAACCTAGGTTGGTAGTACGTGGCTTATTAGAATATAAATATATATTTAGGATTTGTTTATTAGCGTATTGAGCACTCTTTCAACTTATTACTCACTGTTTTTTTTTGTTTTTTTTTGTACCTTTAACCCAGAAATTTAGGGTACTGGACGATTTCTTTTGGCATTTTTGGAGGCTTCTGATGCGACCTCCTTTTTACCATTTTTCCTCGGATGCCAATTTAATTGAAAATTGTGCTATCCAGGTTTTTCACCCACTGAGTTTAAATAGATTTACATTATATATATATATATATATATATATATATATATATATATATATATATATATATATATATATATATTGATATTATAGTTATTAGGTACAACCACGTGTCTATTATTATTATTGTTATTATTATTGCTTTTTCTGTTCATTTCGATACAATACAAGTGGATTGTAAATAATTTGAAAAATCCCAGGATCTAAGCATCGCTGTTATGACTATTCCTGTAGTAATGGGTGTGCTTAGAATCCTACCGAAATACGTGAAGAAGCGCTCAAGGAGTATTGCGTGTGGGACCAAGATTGTAAACCTCCAGAAACTGCTACCATTTACTCTGTAAGGATTCTCTGAAAGGTTCTTGAGTTGTAATGAGGCACCATGCGTCACGAACAGAATTCCCATTGAGTATATCGATGTGCAGCAGCAAAATAATAATAATAATAATAACTTGCATATATTGGTCTGTGATTTAAAAATAGATTCATTAAAAAAGAGCTTGCTTACTTGGAACAACTACGATACTGCGGAAATCATCGGATAGCGCCTGTCGTTGAAAAGAAGAAATGATCCGTTTATTATCTGAGAGAAAGACTATTTTCTTATTAGCAACCAAAATATGCTGTGCTGAATAATAATAATAATAATAATAATAATAATAATAATAATAATCAGAAGAAGAAGAAGAAGAAGAAGAAGAAAAAGAGTGATAATAATAATAATGATAAATTACGAGGACAATTGTCACTTCTAAGTGAAAGAAAGAAAAAGGAAACAACTGAAACGAAGCCTTGAATAAGACTGACGTACCAAAAATTAAAGAGAAGCTGAAACAACAAAATTAAAGGAAGGCACAGAGAAATCAGGCGTTATGAAAAATGAAACAGATTCTTCTGGTAAAACAAGATCTACAAAAAAGATGCCAAGAAACTATATTGAGAATATGATAGGAGAATGCTTTTAATACTAGAAAGCGAACCTAATGTGGCCAATAAAAATGAAGTCTATCAACACCTTAGCTATACCCGTAGCAAAATACAGCTTCAACATTATTAAATGGAAGTTGAATGACATTAAATATTGGACACCAAATCCATAAAAATGCTTACCCAAATGAGGATGCACCACATGAAATCAGATGTTGATAGGTTGTACATACCAAGAGTTTTAGCAAGCCGAGGTCTAATTTAACTTGAACTAACCCTAAAAGCTACAACAATAAGATTGGAAGCATTACCCCAAAAACCAATGAGCTTCTTCTACAAATAGTAAAACACCAATCAAGAAGCTGCACTCTTCAAGAAATGTAACAGAAACCCTTCCAACAAAAATACAAAGCGAATACCATCTACGCCAAACGAGTAAAATAGAAAGCAATATTTAGCCAAATTAAATTACAAAAAAAAAAAAAAAAAAAAACTGGTAGGAAATGCGTTGCATGACAAATACATAAAAAGAACGAAAGAAGCAGATGTGAACCAACAGAAAACTCATCAGTTGATGAGGAGCACCGGTTTGGAAGCTGAGAAGGAAAGCCTAATTATTGCAGGTCAGGACCAAAACTTCGCAACCGGATTTTATCACTGTCACATAATCAAGAATGGAACCAACCCGAAATGCAGGATCTGAGGAAAATGTGATGAAACTACCGATCATCTCAGGATGTCCGGAACTAGCAAAAATGAATATACCCACAGTCATAACAAGGCAGTGATATATATGCGCTGGAAGTAAAACAAGAAGCACAAAATCGAAACAACTGTGCGATGTTATGAACACCAAGCAGTGACAGTTAACCAAAATGACGATGCAACTATCCTCTGGGACACGCCAATGTAAAATGGCAAAGAAATAACGGCCAGAATATCTGATGTTATCATAAAAGACAAGAAATTCAGGAAGCGTATGCTTATTGACATAGCAGTACAATCTGAGAGAAACACCTCCATGAAAATTATCCACAAATTGCCCAAATACAAGGACTTGGAGGTCAAGATTAACAAGATGTGTGGTATGAAGACTGAGACTGTACCAATAATAATCGGAGCACTGGGCCTCGTGAGAAAAGGAATGAACAATTTTGCTAACAGTGTCCCAGGTAACATCAATGTACAATTTACACAGAAGATCGCCCTACTAGGAACATCCGATATACTAAGAAAAGTGCTATCAATTAAATGCCAATTCTCCTATAGTGCCTAAGGACGATAGTTTGGACTCAGCTCTAAAGGATACAAAGCAGGAAACATAACATACACAAATAATAATAATAATAATAATAATAATAATTCTCTCAATTCCGTAATTTAACTTGGTACAAAACCCGCACTTACCTTGACTATATCTGAAAATAAAAGTAAGCAAAATTATTCAAAATTAATCAATAATAGCTGAGTATGATAATTCATAGTATTTCACAAATATACTGCCTCCTTAAATTCTAAGTCCCTTTATAATAGAGGTGATAATGGCTAACCACAGTTTCCTTTTCTTTTATATCTATAAACAATGCTTTACCATGATTCTTCTTGAGATAGTGGATTGATTTCGTGTTTCATTCTCCTGCATTGGTTGCCCTTTCAAGACAATATAACCCACTACTATTTTATTCATAGAGTATGTCATGTGGACTTACGCATTTCCCAAGAAATACAAAACAGTGAAAAACAGAAGATAAAAACTCGCTGTCATCCGTATTTGAAACCTGTTCGCACGCTTCCATTTCCTAGATCTTATCCGTTGCTGCCCACTGGAAAAAAAAGCTCCAAATATTTACCACTCTTCACTAAAATCCATAAACTATAAAATGACGACACAAGGCTGAATGTATGTGCCATCGAACTCACTACTCATAAATGTTTTAGGGAGACAAGCTTGCTAACCACTGTGCAACGTCTATGATTAGTGACTGGAATTCTTGCATTTTAGCTTTCCTCTCATTTAACGCTGTGATCTGCTGTTACCTTGTAAAATATTTGAAGGTGCCAAGTGTTACACTTTCACAGTTGTGACATTTTAAAGAAAGCCGAGAAAAAATAGCCAAAAGCGTTACTTGCGTAAAGTAACAAAGAAAACAAACAAATCTTTTCTTAAAAAAATTCCACACCTAAAACTAAATGCTCACCTGCTACAACGCTTATCCTGCAGGGAAGTGAAAAGTGATATGCTAGGATAAACTTGCATAATTCATCCTGTCTATGCGTGGTCTATATATAATTGTCATTTATTTTCTTGAAAACAGGGGAACGTTTTAATTTGTCATGTTTTGCTGACGTCCGACGTCATTAGAAAAATAATTTTATTTCATAAGAATTAAAATCTACATTAACGGAAAAAAAAACGGAATTCAGGTTCAGCTGGTTTATAGCAGTATCACGTTCAAAAACTCGTTCTCATACGATCACCGATATTAAGCAACGTCGAGCCTGGTCAGTACCTAGATGGGTGACGGTTTAGGAGTACCAGGTGCTGTAAGCTTAGATATGCCAGTGGTATGGTTTATGAAATCACGTTGAAATTCTGGTTCTCATACGATCATCGAAGTTAAGCAACGTCGAGCCGGGTCAGTATCTAGATGGGTGGCGGCTTGGGAATATTATGTGCTGTATTTTTGGATTTTTCAATAATATGGCTTACAGCCGTATCACGTTCAAACACTGGTTCTCGTATGGTCACCAAAAGTTAAGCAGCGATGAACCTGGTCAGTATCTAGATGGGTGACGTCTTGGGAATACCAGGTACTGTAAGATTGGTTGGGTCAGTGATATGATTTACGGTCATATCACGCAGAAACACCGCTACTCGTACGATCACCGAAGTTAAGCAACGCCGAGCCTTGTCAGTACTTAAATGGAAATACCAGGTGCTCTAAGCTTGGACGCGTGGGTGATGTAATGGAATTGGAAATCAGAGAGTAGGGTTTGAATCTCCATCGGGTTCATTGTATTCACTTACGCGCAAAAACACTTGGCAAAGGTATGTATCCACCTCTTCTCCCCACTCAGCTATGGGTTAAATATTAAGACTTGCGTCACTAACGCATTATTAGCTTCTGGCAAAAAGATTCTTAACATCTAAAATTATTTCTCTGGCTTTAAATAACTTGCAAAGGATTGTCAAACGGTAGACATCAAACAACAATCTTTATAGAAATTGTATTTTGAATAATTTAAAAATATATTTTATTAAATTGTACATTAATGTAAAAATATTAAAAGAAAAGAAACATACACGAAGTGAAAAACAATAAACTCAGTTTTATTTGCGGGCTACTAAAAACTTTATCGAAACTTTGATCTGGAAAACGCAATTATAGTAAAAACTAAAGCTAAGCAAAGTTCTAAGAAACAGAAGAAAATCGTTAAAAACAAAGAAAAGTGGGACTGAACTGCTATGTGATATCAGTTCTCCTATATGGCAGTGAATAGTGGGAAATCTCCTCACAGATAGAAGGAACGATTTGAGACAACAGAAATGGTGTTCTACAGAAGCATACTGGGAATACTTTGAACTGAACATGTGAGCAACAACAAAGTTTTAAAGAAAATAGAAAGAAATGAACATTGATAATTATAACATCAGGAAGGAGCAGGTCCTCCTGCTTGTGTGGTAAGCAGTAGAGTCCTGTTACCAGGTATAGGGTCATCCAGCAGCCACACTCTTGACCCAAAGCAGCACTACGTCTGCAAGGCACTTGATGTAGGCCTCCGTGTTGAGTCTGAGGCACTAACCAACAAATTCGGGAGTTCTTTTCTTATCAGAAAGATCAGAGTGAGCTTTCTGAGTTGCCGTAGCTTCGTAATCGCAATCAGACTCTATCCGAAATCTATCCGATTCCTCTGCACTATCGTCAGATAATCCCTCAAACGCTCCGAATAGTTGGTATTGGAGCCTCCGGTGCGAATGCCAAACAGTACAGCCGTTTCCAGATTTTTGTGTCAATTGTGTCATGGTGCTCTATTTCTGTGCAGTCGAAAACACAAAAATAAACAACGCGAAATGAAAAGCATAAAATGGCGAAATTTACCCATCGCACCCAATATATATATATATATATATATATATATATATATATATGTGTGTGTGTGTGTGTGTGTGTGTGTGTGTGTGTGTGTGTTGTTCAACACCCACAGATCCCACCTATAATGCAATTATGCTGAGCGGACCTTAATTGCAGTTTCTTGGAGAAGGCGTGTTATCTAGCGTGATCAACTATCAACAAGGCTAGCACGCTCAAACCCTCGGTCAGGATGACTTGTGACTTCATACTAGCACAGCCATTGACTGCCCCCAAGGATTCTGTCTACTCAATTTCACTCCCAAACCTTGGGGCAACCAGTGGTATGTTTTTTCTAACATTACCACTCGTTGGGTTTATGCTCACCCAGACCGATAGCATCAGGAAGTGACCTTCCTGACAAATCGACAAAAGGGAGATTCGAACTGGGCTCTCATGGTCAGAAAGCGAATAGGGATTGGCTAGCCTGCCTAGTAGACGGGTATGCTCAATTACGAGTGGCCATCTATCATTATATATATATATATATATATATATATATATATATATATATATATATATATATATATATATATATATATATAGACCGTGTGTGTGTAAAATATTATTGATGGTGTTGTAACGGCTTAAAATTTATCTGTAACTTTATCACCATTGCCTAATAATTATAATTGCTAACTTTTAAAATGATAAGCACAGTAGGAATATTTCACCTTCTGATCTGAACCTATTTTCTGTTTGTTGTATATATCGCGTTCGAAACAGATTTCTGAAAATCTTTCCAAAATCCCTTCAGAAAGCATCATTTTCTGCTAATGGACATGTGTGACATGACTTAATTTCAAATGCATTCTTTAGTTTTTGTTTATAGATTCAGTTAACTGCTGTTGTCAATCTCATTTTTATTACCCAATAGGTTTTTAGTAAGAGATTTAATATTGATAAACTTCCTGGCACGCCAGATTATTATATACTTTAAAATATTATTTTAATGAGTTTTTTCTATTTAATATTAGTATCTATTGCCTCATGATAAGTTTACAATAATGACTATTAATTGACTTACATCATATCAAGTAACAAAAATTTGGTAGTCTTAAATAACCATTGGTATGTTTAGTATGCTTCGCACCAAATATTAAGAAATATTTAAGTAATGATAATGGTAATATTAGCCGTTTCCTTATAAGGAAACATTCACTGGACGAGAAGATAATATTTCTGTCTGTTGAAATATATATATAAAATATTTCTCTTAAACCAATTTTTCAGGAAAATAGGTTTCTCAAGTCCAGTAGTATTATCGTTTTTCCAGTATTGATGAGGGTTTACTTCATAACTGTTTAATTGTTCACATATTGATTATGTCATATTTCCTCTTCGAGTTAGATAGGATATCCATTTTAGTAGTTGCTGCTTTTAAAAGTCCTAGAGTGATTTCTGACATTCGGTTCAGTTATTTGTGATTTTGTAGCGCCAGTCTACACGGTTCGAAATAGAAACTGTTGTCCCCTCGAGGAGGCACCGTGCCTTGTGAGAATATTGAGCCACAAACTGACACCCGAACTCGAGCGGAACTCTTATATACGATTCTTCGCTAAAATTGCACGTAAAATAAAAGTAGGCTTGAAATTAGCTCCTTCTACCGGTCCAGTAAGACTCCTGATGCTATCCTCTACCTTTATAAGAGCCAGATAAGGCCTAAATGGAGTGCCATATTTGGGGGAGATCTGCCCTGACCTCCCTTTCCTTGATAGAGTGCAAAAACCCTATGTCATGAGCTATGTTGTCTGGGAAAGTCAGTTTTCCTGAGAAGACACTTCCAGAAGGATGCCATAGGAATAAGGATGAGACGATTTCTCTGTTCACTTTGGTGCCAGTGGCCGGCAAACTGTAATCGTTTTTGTTTGAGCTTAAGAGAGATTGGTCTCAGTTCTCTGTAAATTGTGTCAAGCATTGCATGGGATCTTCAATTAATGTTCTGGATATTTCTTAGTAGATTTGCATATGTTCCATCCAGTCGTCTTTCAAATCGAACAGACGAATGGATGGAACATATCTAAGAAAGAACTATTATGACATCCACTAACTGCACTAGGGTACCAACCCTTGGTTACCTAGTTCCAAATTCAAACCTTATTTCTCATGAAATGGATGACCAATCACATCTGAACTCTTTGGAGCGAAGTCATTGCGCAAACAACAAACAAAACTCTACATGAAAGTTCATGAAATGTAAAAGTCCTATTATCTACGTTTTTATATACATTATTTATGTTAAAATACTGTAGAGATTATTTTCTAACGGAAGAAATACGAATACTGTAATCAGAACACAAAGTAGTCGAAGCGATTAAGCTCAAAAAGAGAATTATGTGGAAAGGCCACAGTCAATATGCCGGATAAGAAAGCATTATTTGCGAACGGTGGTTTAAATACTGTGAAGTGGTGGATTACATTCCCTTACGCACTAATACTCTTGGGAAAGGTATGAATCCTCTTCTTCTTTCAGCTATGGGTAAATAGCAGGACGGGTTCTATAGCCTTGAATGGTAACTGGTCTACAGCAGGAGGAAATGGCGACCACTGCGGGAAAAAACAATCTGCCTCGTCAGATATGTATCGAAAGATACATGATCGCCTAAGCGTGTATCACGTATGGTATATAACTGACAGATAGTCGTAGAGTTACCGTTTCTAAATGTAAAACCAATTGAAAAAGCAAGAAAAACAGTTCTAAAATATTTACGCGGCCTTGTAGGCGTTTAATTATTTTCAAACCAACGAAACGCCGCTAGCTTCTAGCACGTCTATCGTTATTTCCATGGCAAATGGTCAGACGAGCTACATTCTTAAGTGCCACCCGTTCTGACATTTATATCTATGAAACACCATGCCACGTACACAGAGTTGAATCATCCTATTTCCCGTCGTATTTCTTAGTAAGTAGGAAGTTGCAATCAAACAACGTCTTGCTGACAACGTTTATTTTGAGAAGCAGACGCCCTGATCGCGATAAGTATAAAAACTTCAAATCATTCGTCAACCGTTATCTATCTTACATATCATCATAACCTGCATTTATTTCAACACTCTTGCATCTATAAAATAAAACTTTATTCACTAACCTACCTTGAATGGCTCTTATATTTGTTGAACTTTTAGTAAAACAATATATATTTAGAACTCGATTAATAGATTATATGATTATATCATTCTTACTTATACGCAGGTAAATAACAAGTTTTAAAGTACTCTCCAATTTTTTCTATGTTAAATAAAACAAAATAGAGGTATTTTAATCATGGCTTTTGTAGACTTATCTTTCAATGATTTATGCTTTCTATCACAAATGCTTTTTTATGGCATATCTATAAAATTATTATGGTTTTCACATGAAATAAGTGACTAACTTATTATCGACATCTACTCTTGAAATCAATCCATATCTGTATAAATGTTTTGACAAAGATTTGAACAGTAAACAAAAGGGACGATCTCCAAGTGAATATTGTGGCTGAAGCATAGTTCTACCAGGAGGTCTTTGATCATTCATGCAATATCGAATGATGCATTATCATTATTAAGGAT